CAAGGATAAGCACGAACATAATACTACTTAAATTAACTTTCAGAAAGTTTTTTTTCCTAGTTCTAAGACCTTAATGTAGTTGCTGTTGTTTTTATTTTGTTCCACTCGCATAAGCGGCTGCTTTTCACTTCTCCCTCACAGTCAGTATTGATATCCTTTCTTCTCCCAACGACGTCAATTAGATCAATATACCGACTGAAATGACTATTTCTATTTATTTTTGCTAATGCCTTTCTAACTTGTTGATAAGACGGAAACACTGGAAATTTGCATAGTGTGTTCTGAAACAAAAGCAAAGTAATATCATCGATTGCGCTCACTCAACTGCTAATCAACTCTCTCGTTGGCTCAAAAATCGCTTATTAACGAGTCTTTTGAAAAGCTTTTTGGCCCACTGTCAAGTTAATTACCACCGTACTTAATAAGTGCATGAATTTTTGGCACACAATTACCAGCAATTGTCAAACGCTACAAAAAGAGACAAAAAGTACAACTGAAAGACAATACTTTGACATACAAGGATAAATCTTGGTGGGAATGTTGACAACGTTGATTGGAAAGGGGTTGAAGCATTTAAGTCAAGAGGCAAAAGCAAGAATCGGATCTTAAAACTAATTTTCATAAAGATTTCCGTAGAATCTATCGGATCACAAGAATAGAAGGGACAGTGATGAGTCAGAACAAAAATATCTGCGAACACATAAAGTTAACCAAGAGAACATGGAATGATGAGCGCGAGAAACGCCGAGAGGGCAAGCTTCGTCGCGGAAGACCGCAGAAATTAAACACTGAACAAGCAAAAAATCATGGAGAAACTTTAGAACTGCAGGGAAATCGGTATTATGACGCTACAACGATAGTGCAAAGTTTGGACATTTCAATGGCGAGACAAGCGAAGCAAGGAGATCATAGTCACAAACAAAGTACAGTTTTCAAATCGGCAAATAACCGAACTAATAACTACATCGTCCCAAAGGCAGACGAGATTCTCGTCGATTTACACAAGATATTGGTTTTTCGCGACAGAGATCCCTTCATAAATGCCGTGTGCACCAAAAGGCGTTCAAAACCAAAAGGAAACGAGAAGAAATTCTCCAGGGAACAGCGTCGTGTACTTGTAAAAAATGCTTATTTTAGGAAAACTTCTATGACGGTCGGAGAGCTAGCGCTTGACAAAGGGAAAGCTGCTAATTCCAGCAAACAAGGACGTGTCCGATATAACTTGAAGAACTCTGAAGGCAACAACAAAAGTTGTAATGACTCCGAGCGACCAGAAACAAACAACGTCGGCATAGTCGACAAGGAATCGCAAGAACCTCAAAGAGAGCCAAAGTAACAGCACGTTTGTGCATGTATGCATTTGAAGGAAAAGAAACTGTTCAAACAAAAACAGGCTAAAACACTAAAACTGGACGCAATCCCGTGAAGAGTGGACTTATTCTAAAACTATTTCCACTAAACCTAACAGCGGAGTCACCTCAAATATAATAGCATACGGCATGAGTTTGATGTATTACTATTGGAAAAGAACTCGGCATCGCCATAGTTTCAATTTGCACACCAGAGTCAAACAAACAACAAAAACTAGAGGCAGGAAACGTAAAAGGACTCAGTAAACACTAAACACTTTCAAGAAAAAATTAAAAAGGATTTTTCTCTCTCCCCTTGTCTTGTTTGTTTGTTTGTTTAAACCTTTACAAACAAATAGGTAACAAAAAAATAGTAGTCTTCATGTTTCTTTTACAGTCAACTTGTGAAAAATTGTACAGAAACGCCGGTGTTTTCAAGGTGAATGCGAAGGAATACCAAAGGAGTATTGTGATCACCTTGCGTTACTCGTTTAAAACAAAATTGAAGCTAATCTTTACAGGCCTAATAACACTAAGGTCACGTTACTTCGGCAAAATGATATTATTATTCGCCTTGTTGGCATGCTCACAGAATCCCACAAGCAAGCATGTGACCTAAAACATCTCTTTACAAGTTTCTCAACCCGTCCACGATAACGGGTTAATTTTTGATTCCCTATTGCCTCGTCTTTAATATAAATTGTACGTGGTGTTCAGTCACCAAAAGGAGAAAACTCCCACTTTCTTAATCAATCAGACTCAAAACTAAACCTTGGTCACTCGCGTTTTCCCGCGCCTTAGTCACCCGCGTTTCCCGCGCCTTAGTCACCAGCGTTTTCCCGCGCCCTGAGCACTGTGAGTTCTCATGGCTCCGTGTAATATTTACCCTTCCTCTGATTGGGTGCTGTCATTTTATAATCACTTTGGTTTGGGTTTTGTTTTAACGACATTCAGTCGAAGGACATAAACGGGTAAGAAATACGGTAAACTGAATGAAAACCAAAACAACGGCTTTATCCGTCAAGGTAACACCAATATTTCACCTTGTTGTGGTAAGAACAATATACCAAATCGACATCCTCTAAATGAGCTTGAAGTTTTAGCCCAGCAGAGTTACAATAACAGCAGTTGTCTTCAAAAATGTGCTCTCCCACTGGACGGCAACCCCCAAAACACCTGTGCAATAAAACAGATGAAGACATTTTTGGAAATATTTCTCGTTCAGAGCTATTCTTTTTTGAAGAGTGCAATTTTCGCTGGCATCTGTCAACCCAGACTACGCGCATTCCCCCCTTTCCGTTAACGTACGTCGTATAAGTCAAAATTGCGCTTCGTGGAACACTCAGAGTGAATTAGGCCTCACTCACAGAGTTCCGCATGGGGCGCTACAATCAATGTTTTTTTTTCACAAAAATGTTTTTATTTTCACTCGCGCGAAGCACTTCGCCGGAAAGAAAGGACTTCTCGTAGTCTACAATCACACTTCATCAATGCATCAATATTCGGTACTGCTAACACTACAAGCTCGTGCACTGGGGTTAGGGAAGGAAGACTGCGCTACCTCTAACGAAGACTGGATAGACGCCAATACTGTAAGGAGAAATTAGATGCTAGTCACTCTTAGGGGATAAAGGCTTAAGGACAAGAGAGTTTCCAGGGGAGTTGAGACGGGCCGTTTTTAAAGGGGTGGCTGTTAATAGGTATCGTCTCCTAATGGCCACAGCTGTAGTTTACTTCAAATACCTTATTCCACTACAAAGGTTACCAGGCCCAACACAGGGATTCATAAACACGTACAGAGGCCAACCATAGGAACCAAGGGCAAACTGCATGAAATGAGTGGCATCCTGTACCAGGGATTTCTCTTTCTAAAAGAAAATGTGATGGAAATATCCAACCTTCAACGTTTTCACACTTATGATGGTTGTACAAAATTACGTAGGCATTTTTAGATAATGTAGTGACAGAGATGGAAAGCTAAGGCTTAGGTTGGTATTGTTTTTATCCTCATTCATAGATGGAGGTCAGGGGCATAACCAGCCTCATGTCTTGTTGTAGGCCTGTACTCTTAGAAAGTTCCACTATTTTTTTTTGTAAATTTTGCAACAATTATTTTATAAAAGTCAAGTGACGGAAAAGATTGTATGCCCAGGGTCTACAGGACGATAAGCTGGCTATGCCCCTTGAGGTGAAAATCTGTTTCCCCAGCTATTCACATGGTGAATTTTTGTTAAAGGAATACCCTTTTCCTTCTTTCTCAAATTATTTTCAACTACAATAAAAAAAGTCATGACTTATTTTCAGGCTGCCTGCCTTTACATCTTAGGTAAGACATCAGATGGAAAGAAGCCTTCATGTGGCATCATTACAGACCTATCTGTCACCACATTTTCTTTAAAATCATTTAAACATACAACACATTACAAAATAACATAAAAAACCTTTCAAAATGATTTCAGTACAGTACTGGTATCTGTCCAAAAAAATTACCCCAAATTGATCCTATTTGTTTGAATTCAAGATCTCTAGATCTTTAGCCAAATTGTATCACATTGTGGCCCATGTCAATTACAGTATTTCTGCATTATGCTCTAATGTAGTCTTTATAATTATTACTCACAGGATCACTAAGATTTACAGGAGTCCCTTTCTGAAGATTCTGAAAATGATGAAATACAAGTGCAATTAGAAACAGGTTATCAGTTTACACTTTTTTTTCGACATTTACATTATAAAGGTCAGTGTATTACAAAATTTTGCAAAAACTAATGCTATCTCAAAGTTTCCTACTTAAAACTGATGAAACAACACTGTTTGGAAGTAACCAATCAAATTACAAACACTGTGCTTTGATTAGATGCATTTTCAGATGTGGGACGGTGATGGGCTCATTGTACATCAAGTCAGGTATACAAAAATCCCAAATGTTTCCAAACGGCTTCTAATTATGTCACTGAAACAAACAAACATCTGCAATTTCAACAGTAACGGTTCAGTATGTCCACAATGAATTCTTTACAATGTATCCTGTATGTAAGCAGTTGTTTGTAAAAGGCCTAGTTGCAGCTACAAAAGCTAGAATTTATTCTATAGATCTCTTACTTCTCCCTTCATCTTTCTTTCCATCTGCTCATGATCTTGTTCTTCTTGAAGAAGAATGAGCCCAACAGCAACATCAGAAGCAACAATGTCCACCCCATGCAATCCGGAGGCTAAAATATCTGCAATGTCTGACACTGCACTGAGGTACTGATCATCTCTGCCAGTAAAGAAGCAACACAACCAACGACATCTCTTCTCCCAAAGCTGATATTGGGGATTTGAAAATCAAAAAATTAGAGAGAAAAGTGTTGTCTAAAGATAAATGTATCACCTTTTTTTTCAGCTTAATTTAGTCTAACTTATCAACTGGGTTGATAATGTAAATTGGCCACTATATAGAGTTTAAAGCTGATGTTTCAAGCAAATGACAAAGGGCTTTATGTTATCGACTGAGTTGATAGTACTAAATTACATGTACACTGCTATACTCTTCCACCAATGCAGCACCACAGTTTCTCTGGAAACTCACTTCCTTTATTCATTTATCTTTTTTGTTCATTTGTTTATTTGTTAGATGCACAAGATATAAATTTGCTGAGTCATAGAAAAAGACTCCACCATAACACCGGTACCAAGAGCTTTGTGTTTGTGTTATTTTAATTAATGTCTCCTGCAAACTGTAATAGTTAAGATACAAACCCCAGCATATTTTCCCTATCATATTAGACCATGACATCTAAAGCAGCTTCACATTTCATTGAGAGGGCAACAAATTCTTTCCATTTAGTAATTAAGAACCATTATTCCAGTCTAGGACCTGAACCCATGGCCTTGCACAACAACAGAGTTGATAGAGTAAATTTGCCAACATAGGGAGTTTCTAAAACTGACTTTCTAGCATAGCTGTATGTTAGAGTGAGTGAAAGAATTGTGGGTTTTGTGTGGTTTATAAACAGAAAGATGACACTACACTATTAATGGGAACATGGTAACATGAAAAACAGTCAGTAATAAATTAGCTGAATGAAAAGCTTTAGTTGATACCATAGGGATTTATAGAGCCTATTTGAGAGATAAATGTTTGTTCAAGAGTTTTGTGTCTTTCCAAACTTCCTAGATGTAGGAAAAACTGAATTTTTTAACAGATATTGATTTCAAACCTCTTTTGTTGATTCTTGCATGACAGGTGAAAACTCCCTTCCAAATGGATCCTTGTGAATTGTTCCCAGTGGATCAAACAACACCAAAACACCAATAAAAACAACAAGTAAGATCAGCCATTCTAGAGTCACTGAAACACACACAGCAATAACCAAGCTTGGCTGACAACTAGAGCCATTCTTTACTGCCCAGTAGGTCCCAAGAATTGTCCACAGCAGCTCTGGCAGATAAAGTCCAAGTTGGATATAAAGTAATACTGGCATTAACTGCCGTGGTCTGGAGTTCATCACAGTTCCCTGTATACTGATGTATATGATGGCAATTTCATTGATAATCACCAGGCTGGTTAGAACAATTACTCCAATAAAAAATAACCGCAGTTCAAGCCGAGCATCACACTTTTTAATCTCATCATTCTCAAAGCTGTATGTCATAGATATTACAGCCAACCTAATTGTTGTGGATAAAATGAGTCAGTTATCAGTGCATAATGCAGTATCCTTAAAAAACAAGGCGTCTTAAAGAGCAATTTGTGTGATATTAAGCAATACTTTACGTTTCTTAACCCTTTAACTCCCGAGATTTGATTGTAAATTCTCCCCTCTAACTGCTCCACATTTCCTTGTAAATTAGTTATGAGAGTTTGATGTTAGATCAAGATAACTTCTACCTGATAAGTTTGAATATTCTCATTACCTGTTTTCTAGATAATGAATCGATATCATAGAGAGAGGCAACATGTTAATCACTTTTGGGAGTTAAAGGGTTGGCAAATCCTTGATTATTTCTATATTCAACAAACTAAATAGTATAAATCTGTAACAAAAATCAGTGAAATTAATTCTTTACCCTTAAGATAGTCTGTTAAAGGGAGAAAAGCACCCACTATCAATACAATGGTGGTAGAATGGACGAATAGTGAGATATATGTATGCTGGCCAATGAAATAAGAAAAAAAATTCATACATGCCAGTGTACAATGATAATTAAACAGTTATTTTACAAAGTTCGATATTCTCCAGCCACATCTATAGGGTAGTTGTGAAGAACAAGTTCCTGAAAAACCTGTTGATGCCAGTCAAAGGTTTGTTTTGGACTTTACTTCTCAGGTACATGTATATTGTCACTTAGAGGCCTGTTGGTTATATGTCAGCCAACAGTCCACCAACAGGTTTTTTGTGGGAGTAGTTCTTCAAAATTCCCCAGCTATGGATGTTTAACCTTTTGGAACTTAAGTTACATGTATGACACTCTTCAATTCTCAGATCAACCATTATTCCCAGTTCTTATTCCCTCACCCACACACACCTACTAAAGGAAAATACACCTTGAAATAAACATCAAATGTCTTTCATAATGACCTTATGGTATTGGAACAGATAATGAGCTTCTACATTCTGCAAATTTCATTAAAGAAATCTCTTAGGAGGTATGTTCTGTGACTGGACATGATTAGAGATAGTTTGAGTCCAAATTGTGCACATCATTTTTACTTCATACACCAACATAATTACTCACCAAACTAGTCTAACTATAACTCCTACCGCTGCTGGGAAAAACAAGTCATCGCTGCCAATACGCCATCGGCGATTAAAAGCCACCAAGGCAGGCATCTCGAAAATGGCAAGTTCTTTTCAAAATAAACAATTCGCGAACCATTAATCAGGTCATATTGACCCTTTCATTAATTTTTTCCTGACATTTCCGGTGAAATACGAAAATCGAAATATTCCTGCTTCACTTAAATCGCAAGTGAAAGAAAAAAGCGCCTAAAACAGATCAGCAGGACTCATGAATAATATTTAACGCCATCCTTGTTTTTAACAAGTCTGCCATATTGAAAGATGCGGAGAGACTGGAGACTAAGTCGCGATCTACCCATGCGCAGCATTAATTTCCTTTAGCGTCGGAAATTCAGCCAATAACTTCAACTTTCACCTTTCTTTTAGTCTAATTTTAGAGACTTTTTCCACAATGATTGCCTTTTGAGACAAGTAGAAGTATCAAATAGTCCTAAAGCTGCCTGAAAGTCGTCAAAATAGGACTAAACTTCTGCTGTGTTTCTTCTTTTATTCGCTGTTTGGCGAGTATGGCGTCGAATTCACCAGGTAAGCTTAGAAATTTACGCTTGTTCTTACCTATAAACGGCGCACATAGATCAACAGGTTTGATGATTTACAAGAGCTGGTCTTATATCTAGTCTTAAAACGTTAGAAAGCTTCTTTAATTGTGGGTGATATTGTTTGCAATATATTACGTTAGAGTATAAGTTTGGTTTGGTATGAAATGTTCCATTATCCAGCGTTTCAATTGAGGCGTGTGTTTATTCGGACTTGTCCCTTCTCAAATACGGAATTTTTTTGCCTCTCATAGGTAGCAGATTGTCAAGAGAGAAGCTCAAACTGAACTTCCAAGGTGGAATAGAGAAAAAAAAGTTAAACCTCGCAGGACTCGCGACACGACAACCAACACCGCTTCAATCCAATATGTAAGATAAATATTTAACGCATAACATAAGCTATCGAATTCCTGTTTACAGCTTCCTTTTTCAAGAAGACAAACAATTTTATTGTAGATCAGCAAGACATTAGTCGGTGTCTGTGTCATTAAAGAGCGCGATTCTAACAATTTGTGAAGTAGCAATTAACCGTGAATTAAATTTAATTGCAGCTGTCATTGTGCAACATTAGCGACTCACTGTTTCAACTTTCAGATTCATTTTATGATTTCTTTTGTGAAACGTGGAAACAATCTAGGCCTCATTTGTTTTTTGTTTTGATAATGCCATGAATGTAGATTTTAATTTGTGATTCAATTTTATCACTTAGTTCAAAATTTTTCAACTTGTGTGATTTTTGTCTCTTAAGCTGATGCCATGATACTTAGCACGTCACCTTTGATTAAACTCTTTAATTTCATTACCAACTCAGCTGATTAAACCAAACTATCGTATAGTATTCCCCTCTAATGCAACACCACAGTTTCTTTAGAAACTTGCCAAAACTGGTTTGAAAATGTCAAAGAAAGGAAACATTTGAACCACAACATAAATGATAAAGCTATGTAAGAGACAGAGTATCATTTTTATCGTGTTTATCAGGTTTTTCTAATATCAATATGTTGGAAAGTCATTTATCCTTTAGATAGTACCATCAACTTTTGGCACAAAAAGATTTTATTTACATTTTTTTTTTAAGTGAAAGACTCCGAACTCACAAAGCTGTTGGAAAACTGTCATTTGGCCCGGATCAGGTAAGCTATTTATATTGAATAAACATTTTCACTTCAATTAATGTATTGTAATCTGATACAATGTGTAATGTATATCAGATTCTTCCGTGGGGAAGAATAAACCTCTAAAATTTTCCTCTCTCTAAACTTTGTTGCCCAGTTGGTAGTAAGACTCAACTACTAGCACTATCTATGAGGCTCGGGCTCGAATCCCACTAAAACCTTAAGTTTTTATTCTGGCTTCTCTTCTGCACTTGGTAAAATCATCATGGATCATGGCTTTATTTCATTTTATTTGTGATGTAATTTCTTAGTTAGGATGGACCTCTATTGGCTTAAATGTATGGTGACTTTGATATAGTGTTAGGCTAGGAGTCTGATAAGAGGAACAGGCAGGCACCTTACTTATTTTCTTGTACATCTAGCTGCACAAGGGTGGTAGGGAAAGGGAATGAACAGAAATGAAAATTTATGGCTTATCATATGAGCTTTGAACTCCAGAGTTTAAATCAATGAAATTTATGATTTCATGAAATACTTTTTATAGATTATGGTTGGTACCTGTCATGTTTGCTGTTGTTTTTGCCCCTTCTAATATGTATCTTTTGTTTGTGTAAAATTTCCATTATAGAGTTATGAATATTCATCGGAAGACCTGGATGATTGTGGTGAGATTGGTAGAGGTGCATATGGCACTGTCAATAAGATGTTACATAAGGAAAGCAACACCTACATGGCAGTTAAGGTAAATTAACCCTGATATTCATGTTTCTATCTACCCTATACTTGTTTGAAAAGTTTTGCTGTTAGCCATAGAATAGGGTCCTAGTATAGCAAACTATTATGCTGTGGTTTGTCTTTTGGTAAAAACATCTTCAATGGCTTGATGACCTCTTTTCCTTGTTCAGTGCCATCACCCAATGTTAGTAACATGTCTAGCAATACAAGTAAGAGGGTGGCAAAGTTTTTTAAACTTGACACAAGATTAAGTTCAAAATTAGTAAATAATGCATGTATTTTATAGAAAGTTAAGGTAACGTGAGATTTGAAGTTTTCCATCTTGAAATTGTCATACATGAAATACTGTTTAAAGTACATATGAAGAGTGATTTTTTTGAAAAATTTGTGCATGAAACAGAATCAGCCACCTCCTCTTTCCAACCCTCCAATAAATGCACAAATCACTGAGGCTTTATAGTGCTTTAATTTCCTATGTCACGACATCTTCTTGAGGGAATCAACTGTGCCATTTTATAAGAATTAATCTGTAATTTAAGGTTTCTTTTTAAAGCACCTGTTTTTCCCTTTCAGAGAATTCGTTCAACAGTAGATGAAAAAGAGCAAAAACAGCTTTTAATGGATTTGGATGTTGTCATGCGAAGCAGTGATTGTAAATACATTGTCAAGTTTTACGGAGCTCTTTTTACTGAGGTACATGCCATGAGAAATATTTTCTCTTTGGATATTCTTAGTGTTTACAGTCTTGCTCTTCTTTTCAAGAGCAAAGTGTAGATTAAGGGCGAATTTGAGCTTGAGTTATTGCACTAAGTGCTGTTATGGACTAGTTCTGTGAAGGACAGTCAAAGTGAGAGCCGCCTCTCCATTACTCTCAAGCATTGTAAACTCATTCTTTTAAGTCTTATTGAAACCTTCAAATGGGAAGTGTCACCCTTCCACTGCAGACACCTTGTCTGCCAAGGAGTGGCTATTATAGGAAAAATTTGTAAACCTAAACAAGAACTGACTTGAGACAGTCACCTAAACTCTATATTCACTGTATCATGGTTCAATGGCCCTTAGGGAAATGTTTTAAAACACCATGGGTTTGAAATTTCATTGTACTCATACCATCTGGAGGAGGTTCCTCTGATATAAAATGCTAAATTCTCTGAATTAATCTACAGTAAAGCAGCCTGTATACCAAATTACTGAACATATCTTGGCCTCTATCTTAGGGTGATGCATGGATCTGCATGGAATTGATGCACACCTCATTTGACCAGTGTTACCGGCATGTTTATGGGGTTGTAATGGAAACTATACCAGAAGACATTCTAGGAATGACCTCATTGGCAGTAAGTTTCTGTTTTTAGCAGTGGTGTTGGTTTTTTCTGTATTAACATGCAAACTCCTTGGTAGTAGGACCACAAGAAAAGGTAGAGAACTTCATCTCCTGAGAAACAAAACTTTTATGGACCAATCCACATTTCAATATGCTGCTCCAGCAAAAGGAATGAAATTACTTTCCAAAAGAACCTCATTCCAGCAATATACTGAGAACTTTTAAAATTGAAAATTTTCAATTTGTTATTGATATAGATTAAAGAATTAACACAAATGTAGCATGGAAACTCTTTCTTATAACTGTTCTCATTATCATTTTTATTGTCCTACATCTTTTTGATGTTGATCAAAAGTTTATGCCAGCATTTCAATATGGATCCACAGATTGTTGTTGTTTTTTTTTCCAGTCTCACTAGAGTTTTTATTCTTTTGTCATTATTACTATTACTGATACTAATATTGTTATTTTACAATCTTCGTACACATAGAATGTAACTTTTTTTTTTTGCAAAGTGCCTCAAAACAGGGCCAGGGCATGAACTTGTTTGTTGAAAGGAACAAACCTTTTTTTTTTTACACAGGTTGTGAAAGCACTGGACTATCTTAAAACAATGCTCAACATCATTCATAGAGGTTTGTTCCTAATTGTCTAAATTGATATTGTGTCATCATGGATATAACAACAGTGTTTTTTTGTATCAATATTTCACCTACAGTCAACTCTTCATCTTTTCAATTTATGTTGTCAGTGGGGTGTACATATCAATTAATATGTCTTTACTCTTCCAGATGTGAAGCCTTCCAACATCTTGCTCGATCTTCATGGACATATCAAGCTTTGTGACTTTGGTATCAGTGGCCAACTTGTTGACTCCATTGCTAAGACAAGAGATGCAGGATGCAAGCCCTACATGGCGGTAGGTCATGTCTTTTATGAAATGAATATTTTGTACCTTTTTTTTTTTTTATTTGTTAGTCCACTTTTAGGCTTGTGTAGACACTTATTATAATTATTTATGATGGGAAAATGATCAAGTGGACCTCGAAGGTGATCAAATTTTAACAATTATTCACCTAATGTCAGGATCAACATCAACTATCCACTAGCCTGATGAAGGACGTCAGCTTTGTAACTCTTTACGTTGGCCAGTTTACATTATCAACTCACTTGATCGTTCCCACTGACACAGCACCATAGTTTCCTTAGAAACTTACCACCTTTATTTATCAGCTAGCTTGCTGAGAAGTGTATTCCAGCCAAAAAGATTGAAATTCATGTTCAAGAACTTACTCATTTGCCATCTCTGTGGCACTTGCCTCCTTCCCTTGTACAACTCATGTGCAATACTGAAGGGATTGCAGCAACATACTAATGACATATTGTCACATCTCTCTGGCTCACATCTTACACTTCCTTAATTTCAACTGACTGTACAGATTTGTGTGATGCATATACTGTGCTGTAATGAAGCAGTTATTGGTAGTTTTTGGATGACTTGCCAATCTTAGTTCTTTAAAGCAATTACATGTAGGGAAAGAAAGTAGGTTTCTCTCCCAGAAGCAAAATGATAGCAGTATATTAGTGGTAAATCTCTTTTTAAGTTAGAGTGGTGTGAAGAAAGACTTGTGCTATGTAGTTCAGCTCAAAGTTAAGTATAGGTAATAAATTAAACATGATTTTGAGTGCAATTTGGTGTAAATAGGCACAAGTAAATTTTTTCAAAGACGGCATTTTAATTCCTTCATAGCCTGAGAGGATAGATCCCATGTCTTCAAGACAAGGAAGTTATGACATCAGATCAGATGTGTGGAGCTTTGGAATTACCTTAGTAAGTTAAAAGAACTGTTGGTTATTTACATTAGAACCCTGATAAATTAAACTTGCAAGGGAAACAAAAAATGGTTAGAATTAGCAGGGTTCGAGTTAGCTGATAGTAAATAACTAAAAATGGGATCAAGGGAAATCATATCTTGTTTGAGTTATCAGGGGGTTTGAGTTAGTGGGGTTCTGCTGTATTGTGTTTGATGTGTGGTTCACTTCAATCTGAATGCCTTGGGAAGATATGTAGATAAATTGCACCCAACTGATTAACACCTTTAGTTACTCGAAATCTGAACTGTGAGCTGTAACACCATTTGATGGTCACAGGTTTATTTATGCCCTGGATTTTATTATGCAGGGCCAAAAGCACCCATTTCTAGGCTAGGTTGAATGCACTTTACTAATCCATGGTCATTACTAGCTGATAAATAGTTTTGAATAATCACCTCAGCATCATCTTGGGGATTGTTTGAAGCAAAGTTCTATTCACCTATGATGATCAGCAAGCATTTTTAAACTCCCAGGAGTGTCCAAGACAGAATTTCTTGTTACAGTATCAATACACCATCAAGCAGATGAGTGTTCGGAATAAAGAAAAATATGAATTAGGAGATTATCAGTTAATCCCATACCAAATTCTCCAAACTAACATCACAGGAATTGTATGGAAGACATCAAGGAGAATTACTTGTGAGATCTTGAGAGTGAAAGGGTTAAAAATGAACTTTAGTGTATTCTCCAACACTTTAAATCATTGAGCTTGAAAAAAAGAATAATTATTTAATTTAATAGCTGTCTAGATGATAATCAGACTGTCTGTATTTCATTCCTTACTTGAAGATTAATTCTTCATCAGAAGCCTCAAGGAATGTACTGTGTGATTTCCCTTAGGAAAATTACCTCTTGATAACAATCTTGTCATGGGTGACAAGACTAGAGGGAGTGACCTCCAAAGAGGTGCTTATGATTCATTTTTAATGAGAATAATTGTTTTTTAACATCAAATGACAGATTGAACTTGCCACTGGAAAATTTCCTTATCCCAAATGGAAGAGCGTATTTGATCAGTTGACTCAGGTTGTGAAGGGAGACCCACCACGCTTGACTAACAAAGATGGAGGAAACTTTTCAGATGAAATGCTTGCCTTTACAAATGTGTGGTTAGTAAATTGAAATTGTTTGCATCAAATATTATGCAGGCAATCAACGTAGAGTTTGGGCCATCTTCAAACAACAATTTTTTGCTAAATGAATGTACATGAAGCCTAACTTTCATGAAATTAGTAGCAACCTCTAAAGATGTCTTGAAAGCTTGGTGACTTATTATTAATTATTATTGGGCATAGATAAGTTACTGTGGCTCCTTAACAAGTTTGAAGTGTTTCTGTTTTTAATTTTCAATTTGAATTCCTATCATCTTGGCTGTAAACAAGTAATAGGAAACTAAGACAGTTTGTGAAAAATTGTAGGGCAAGGTCTGTAATAATTTCAGAGGCATGATCATAACTGATCTTAGTTCTAATGTAATGATTGTTTCTGTGTGTCTTTTGTTTTCCTAGCCTTACCAAAGATGTTACTAGAAGACCAAAGTACAGAGAATTGCTCAAGCATCCCTTTATCCTAAGGTATGAGGAAAAGCAAGTTGATGTGGGATCCTGGCTCAGTAGAATCTTGGCGCAGGCGCCACTGAACTTTGATAGATTAGAGTTATGATGCTTTGAAATAAATAAAACTATTTTTGTACCAGTTAATGTAAATAATACCCAAAACTTCCTGAATGTGAGACTGTGAACTTGAGTCAAGAGGGATTGAATTCTATTGACAAGGGTCAGTAACCATCTTCAAACTAATTGAAAGAAATCAATAGTTTTTCATCTTTATAGTAGTTTTAACATATGATAACAAGCTAGTGGAAATGTCAAACCATTTTATATTGTAGGTCACTGTGTAACAAACAAAATGTTCAGTGATTGGCCCAAATGAAACCAAGAAATGTTATAAGATCTCTATAAATCTGTGAGATTGTTCACTCTCAAAGACTCTGATAGGAGAAATGGGTATTCAAGTTGTTTGTTTTTTGCATTTCTGAAAACTGGCCAAATCACTTGTTCAATATATAAGCTTCTTTGCACCTCTACTGTTGTTGTTGTTGTTTTTCTTTGTTCTCAGTTGTGAAATGAATTAATGGTTAGAAATATGAGTTATGAGCTGTGGTATTGTGTAAGGTATTTTTAAAATAGTCATTTCATTTGTGAGTTTCATGGCATTGAATAAACCATGAAATACAGTATCACTGCAAGGAACCAGTTGGTTCAAGCAGAAGATGAAGTTTTGAGAATTAGTTTGCTGCAATGTATTAGAGGGTGAAAGGTTTCTAAATTTAATACTTTTTTTTTTGTCTTATTTGCTGAAATATTTGAAAAACTTTCATTGTACATTATAATTTTACTTTACTTAGTTTTTCTTTGGGTTTTCATGGAGAGATGGGCATAAAGAAATAAGCTATTTCTTGAAAAAAAGAAAGAAACTTTTTCAATTGCTTTTGCATGCTTTGTTCATTGAATTCATTCAATTATATTAAGTCATTATTAACAGTGTGATAATGATTAGGTGCAATAAGAAATGCAGTAGATAAATATGTTGTGCAGTGCTGTTGCAGGTTCAGCTTTTTTTAAAACTAGGTTTTGCTACAAGGTAATGTTTTCTGGTTTCCAACAAAAGAAAATGAACAAAAATGATTCAAAACTAGGGAAGTTGTTTTGATAAATTGTTATTCTTTGTGAGTCACACTTCAGTGCGCTTGATCATTTACTTATTTAAATGTAAACAAGTGTTATTTGAAGATGCTCAGTGAATGATTACAATAAAAAGCAATATATTCTC